TTGCTATTGTATGAATCCTTTGGAAATATGTAACAAGCGACAAGTTTGTTTTTTTTTCAATAGATTATTGAATATCATTTCGAGTAGCACTGTTTTAAGAGTCATCTTGGTGCAGTCGGTATAGGCACCTCGCGCCATAAACATATTGTTTTAATCGATCGCTTCGAAATCCATTGCCGTCGTTGAGGATACTCGTCGTCTCTTTCTGCTTCGGGAATAGTTAATTCACGACCCGCGTGGTAAAAGGGCTGAACAGGTTCCGAGGGATACCGGTAGCAATAAACACTAATACCATAGTGCGGTATCTAGCGTGCAAAATATATTCAATATCAATGCACGCGCTATCTCTCGTTCTACGATGGGCGAATCTCGTATCTAAACAGCGCGCGAACATCCCGTGGCTTTAAAATATGAAGTGTCTCGGTGGTCCTTAGTTCGTAATCAAGGACGTTTCATGTCGCGTTGCTTCACAGTACGCTGTAATCACGGATAAGTCGTACTTATCGCGACCAATATCTTACATTGTCAAAAGTAACTCCGCAGTCTTGCGAGAAATTTATGCAAAGTACTCGACCGTGTAATTTCCATTATTGTAAATTCACGGACCAAGACTCGAGGCGGATATCGGCATGTTACGCGCTCGTATGGGCGGCGATTATTTAACGTCGGCTCTGAAATTGGTAAACTATCAATGTGGAATTTTGTCGTTAACTATCTGTGGGCAGAAACTCGCGCGTTTATCGTGCATCAAAACTTTTATTCCCAGTCTTACATGATTGCGTGATATATTTACAAGAAAGCGAAATTTGCAATACTGACTTTATATCAGATTAATTTTTTCATAATCTGATATTGCCATATGATATGTAATATTATGAATCAAGAAATTAAAATAATAAAAGATATTTTTATCAAGGAAATATTTCAAAAATATCTTTTATTCGTTTAAATGTTATTTTACACGTTTAAAAGTAATGAATTTTATACGATGCAATGATGCAATATCAGTATATGAGTTTTATATCAGTTACAACAAAAGCATGTAATTAAAAAATGTATCAAATTTTTAATGAGGGAATATATAATAAACATTTACAATATAAAAATTAATTCTTACAAGAACTATATATATATATATGCATATTCTCGTGATATAGCGGATGTGTTATATAATGGGATCCGTGATTATTTCAATCCAACGCCAAAGAATGTATGCAAAGATTATAAACCTAGTATAAGAATGGAAGCCGCTGTTCGTCAACCGTATCGTTTTTGATGTCGTAGAAATAGGCGCATACACAGTACCACGAAGGCATTCTCGGTCTATCGGGCTCTATTTAAATATACATCAGCCCAGTGAGTTATAGGACGGGCTATGTGATTTGTGACAAACTGGCTCCGCCATTAATTACCGTGCAGCATCTTTCCTCGCCTTTCCTCTTCTGTAGACGCACAACACACAAACACACACGCACATACACATATACATTGTCGCTATGCGCGGGATGCGACCATCCAGGCGTCGTGTTACTCGGCTTTCTTGACTTTTTAATCTCTCCATTAATTGCTCTTCTGTCGCTCGCTACCCTCTTTCACTCGTTTCCTCTATTCTCCCTTTATTGCCAAAGATTTATTTTATATCTAAGGACTTTGAACGGTTGATAAGTCGAAAGTTTATCGCTTTTTATATCGTTATCGTTTGATTAGAGAAAATGTAAAAATTGTGCAAGGCAGTAATCTCCTAGTCTAAATTGAGAGAAAATATTACCAAGATTTAATGTAAAATAAAATAAATTTAACGTAAAAGACCTGTATAAAAGTGATTTAAAAATTAGTGATTTATAAATTTTGCAAAACTTGTAATAATGGAAAATTAATATCCGGATTTGTATCGAAAGTCTGCATGCGCGTGATATTGCGAATAAATGAAGAGAAGAGCGCGGGAAGGAGATCGATGAGAAGAAGAGCGATTGCGAGAAAGAAGGGGTGGTGATTATGCAGGTCGTTTATTCGATAAAGGCTCGAATACCGCCACCGCGTGAGGGTGAGGATGACACAGGGTGAGATCTATGGCCCCGTAATATTCTATGAGCAATATTTACGGCCGCTGAGATAAGTGCAAAATGTTTGCGCTTGACGAGGCAGCCGAGCTTCGCTTGCAGGATCTTTTCAAATGGGTGTGAACGCCATTTACGATAAAAAATGTTCTATCGAATTACGACTGGTTTATTTTGCCAATGTTATTGATTAGAGTTTTATGCGAAAAATTATGTAATTATTATAATTTCAATTTTTCATATTTTATATATTGTGCATACCCTACATTATGATTAAATTAGACGTTAATCATAAAGAGATGTGTCAACTTGAATATTTAAATTTGATGAAATATTTTCCCCATTCATTACTTGTATATATCCAAGACAAATGAATTATACAAGATTGAAAAAATGTAATCGCATAATTGAAGATTAGACTAACATAAGTATGCAACGATTTTACATGTACGCTATATAGATGGTCGATCGAATAATAAATACGCCAAGAAATATACAACAAGCGGTCCTCTCGTGAAATAGATAATTGTTCGCGAATTTCGAGGTTACCGCTGGGCTACTTCCTAATCTGCGAAGTAACCGCGACGCAAAATCCAAACCTACGGTCCTGCCGAGTATCGTACAGGACGGGACCCGGTATCCTCATCCTCCGCGCGCTATCGAAAAGCTAGTATTTATAGCTCCATTAAGGCCGGGACTAAATCATCGCTGCAGCCACAACTTTGTTGTATCCAGCCCGGGCACTGCCCATCCGATACCTTCCCAGCCGCGGACCTCTTGTCTAATATTTCGTACCTATGGCGTGGTCTACTACACACGCCTGTATATTTCAAGTATCGATATCGAGGTTGGAGAATGAAAATTTTACCGCGTCTCCTTCCGATAGCGGGGAGACTCGATGCGCGGAGGAAACTAGAAAAGTCTCGTGTCCTTCGATCGAGCCGTTCAGGGTCCTCTTTTTTTTTTTTTTTTATCTTTCCCGATACGATTGCTTATTTATAAATGCGAATTCCGCCGGCAAAATTACTACGATTCCTTAGATTAGTTCGTGAAAGCAGCTCGAATTTCTCCTCGACATTATTCCGCCTCTCTCGTCTTTATCTCGAATTGTCTATTCAACGGCTGTCAAATGCGAGAACCTGTTTTATATCCGTTCATTAAATTTCTACTTAATCGCGAACTGTCAACTGGATTCTAGAATGCCCGGCACACGCGCTAATCTATGAACACGGCCGTGTTCTCTTAAGAGGACAATTTCCGAGTATTCGTCGAACTCCGCGTCTCGGACGTAGATTCATCCTGATGACGCGTCGGTGGCAGGATATCGCGGTCCATCAGGTTGTTTAGTGTCGGCGCGGGCGTCCAACAGGGCGGCCCCGTCAACGGCATACATTACGACCCACATTTACTCGGAGTTACACCGGACCAAACCTCTGTCCGAGGTACACTCGGCCGGAGCGTGAACGTGTACGCGCGAGCGTCCGCGCTCGAAGGGCCGGCAAACTTCTTTTTGGTGGCTGCACGATCGGCGCGGCGCGTCAGCATTCATTAGCCCGGGCCTTATCGCGGTCCATCCTCCTTCTCTCATCTGGCAGAGGGGACTGAGAGAAGGAGAGAGAGAGGAAGAGACGAGGGAGATAAGGGAAAAAGCGAGAGAGCGAAACGTCTCTCGTTCCGTCCTTACGGTCCTTGACGATGACCCTTTTTCGTTCGACTTGATTTATAATTGTGTTTTCGTCTATTCGAGAGGGCCCTTCTAAATCAGGACCATTGATTTCTCTAGCAAATGTAAATACCATTAGACCAACGCGCAGGAATCATTATCGTTATCGTTATAAGCGCGTCGTTCGACATCGGATGGATGGACGGTTGTTGCGGCCAGTGTATTATCCTGCGTATGCGGTCGTGCACCGCCTCGATCGAAGAACGGCCCTCGTAACATAAAATACTGATTTTATTTAAACGCCAGCCTCCTCGTCGCTCGGCAGCCACCGTTGTATTTATCGCGGGGCATTCCGAGCGGACGTAAGTATGTCGGTCCACGGTACGCCCGTTAATAATGTCCTTAATCCTCGCGAGCCCGAGCTCAGCGGCGATCCTGCAGCCCTCGACCGGCTTTTTTGCATACACCGCGTGTGTGCAAAAGCATACACCGAGTTGGGCGGCGGGGCCGAATTCTCGCTTTCGGATACGGTTTTTCGGCGGTTCGCGATATCTACTTTACGACCATTCTGATTGCGAGTGTAGGCAGGGAAGACGATTGCGGCGGCCTGGACGTTCCATCGGGTTCGACGATATACAGCACGTTGACATATGAACGAAAAAGAGAACCATTCAAAACACGCTGGTATATACAAGGACCAGATAGCGGGCCGAGTTGGTTCTCTGTGGCAGACAGGCAGGCAGGCGTGGATTGTCGTATTTGTCGTACTTGGAACGATGCTAGATTACGGAGGCGGATGGAATGATCGCTGTTTGGCCTGGCATAAAACTGCGGGTTGTAAATAGAAGCGAAAAAAACCGGAGAAATGCCAAATAAGCGCGCGAATGATATTCAAATTCAGATGCTACGACTTGTGCCATAAACTTTAATGCGCGTTAATAATGCTTTAAATTCTCTACTTTATGGATGTTTATGTGATAAATTATTTTTATTCTCCATCAATGTTATTATATTGAACGGGTATCATGTCCGTAATAGGTGGTTCGAAACTGATTATCAAACTTGTCGCTCTTTTGACACAAATTTCAATTTCAATCAAACTTATACGTTTACGATTTTCAGATATTTATAATAGTTTCTTATTGTGTCAATCGTATAATATAAAATAAAATTGAACTCCTGCATTTGTTATTTTTATATCGATAAGTAAATATGTCATACTAGTTTCACAATTAATGAGCATATTTATATAATTTTATTACTTAATTTTTTTGTTTCAGCTTGAACGGAAATTGTAGCTATCGTCTCTCCTCTTCTTCATACATCCCGCGAAACTGAAGCAAAATGTTGTACATTCGGTCGACGTCAAAGAGGAACTTTTGACGAGAAAGCGGATAAGTCATAGCGCAGAATGGCATCTACTCGAGAATTTATACAAATTAATTAAAAGACGCGAGGTAAAATGATACCGGACTGTCTAATTACTCGGGTGTGCTCGGGCAGCTTTGTCTACAAAAGATGGAGGTTGAGAAGTGGCGACGACGTTGGATCTTACGGGGCTGTACAACAGTCGAGACTAGACTGGCAGCGGCAAGGGGTTGCGGGGGAGGAGATTTCAGGCCACACCGAGACAACCGGGGCTAAACAGCCATCTAAATGCATCCGAGGTGGCGCTCACTGCCATTACGGCTGATGGACGCTTATTGACGCACGCCCTGCCAGCTAAGGCAGAGCCTCCAGCAAGCCCTCCAGCATCCCTCGATGGAGCGCCCTTCTCTGTCTCTCGGTCTTGTTTCCTTTCTCCTCCTTACCTGTTTCCTTCCCATTTGCTCGCTGTCTTTGCCCCAACGTCCGACTTGCCTTTTATTGTGGCGATATCAAGAAAGCGCCGCGAAAGCTTAAAGCACGGTCGACTCTCTCCCCGACGTCCAATCGCGAATTTCGTCACCGTAATTATTCCAACGGACGAAAGCACTTTGGATACTTTTAATTATTTTTATACCGATAAACACTGGATCGGTTACGGCAATTACACCGTGTATTTTTTTACTCTGTTTATAACATTTGTTTCGAAAAAAAATTTCACTTTTAATCTTGGGATCTTTAAATCGCTGAAATTTAATTTAGCATCGCAAAAGAATTAACGCTATAAATTTCGATAAGGAAAGAGCTTATAATTAGCAAAGAAGATAATGGCTGTGCTGCTTTCGCATTACATGTATCTTACCTATATAGATTATATCTGTGTTGAAAGTGCGTGTTTAACGCATATACGCACATTGGTAAAGATCATAGCACGTAATACCAAAGTTCGTTAAGCTAGTCAGCCTCTCTCAGAGAGAGTCGAGTATCATTCTGCAAAATCCTTCGTTCCTACTGGCTGGTTCGCTACCGTCGACAGGGGGTTGCCACGAAGGCAGCTTCCGCGTGGCAGCTTCAGCCGAACCCTCGTACTTCCATCGCCACGGCAGGATTATCGCGTTATTTATGCGGCAATAATAACGAGTTAGTATATGCGCGGGATGTGCTTTATATCCACGCGAGCCATTAGGGTTAATATAGCGCTAGAGTCTCTTTCTTTCTCTCTCCTTCAAGTTACAAACTCTCTTGTTCAACTTTAACCATGTATGTCACTTGTACAAATCTTAACATGTATCAAAGACTCACGCAAGGAATATCTTTGAATTAAATAGACAAGTCAAGATTACACGTAAAAAAATTAATTTTTTCTTAAATTCAATTTGATATTATTTATATTTTATAGTATCACATTAGTACATTTAAATATTTTAAAACAAAATATTTAAAATATGAATGTGCAAACGAATTGTCAATGAGCCCCTATCTAAAAAGGTATATTATACTCGAAAATCTCAAAATTGTTGCTTTCGTGATTAGTTATTGCAGCTACTAAAGCATATGAATTTTGAGAGTTTGTGAAAAAAATAAAGGTAAAGAAAGTTGAAGAAAGAAAACTGAAAAATATTCTCACCGTGCTTCATAAGAAACTGTCATTGCGGAGATTACCTATAACTTGGTAATCCAATAATAATAAAAAGATTAAATGTAAAAGTAATAAAAAAATTAAATTAAAAAATTAAAGTAAATTTGTTTAGAATTAACTTTCTTTTTGCTACGCTATATATTGTATAGTAAAAGGAACTAAATATAGCACGCGATTTGTAATGATCTAGTTATGATAAAAATTTCAACCCTCTCTCTCTCTCTCTCTCTTACGCATTACATAATTTTTTTATCTTAATCCATATTGGCATCAAATACAAATGATTTATATTCTCCTATCTAGAGCTTTTACGCGTTTCTCTTTGCAGGGAACGACCCCTGCAAACTCTTTTTCAGATGCTTTTTCAGAATCGTCGAACCGTCGACGAAGGTCGGCCAGTTCGACCCGCGCGACCGTACTTCTCCTCGGTACAGTCGTTACTTGCGACAACATCGTATCTCACATGGCACCTGCTAAGTATCGTCGCTATGTCATACGAAAGAGGGGGCGCGAACGAATAATCTCGCCATGCGTATGACTCAAGTTTCTCCATGGTGAAAAGAAAACTCGGAATTACTGCGACAGAATTGTTTATCGTCTTGGCGATCAGTGACGTCGATCATGCACCATCTTTTCTACGGGCTGCTTATTTAAACCATTCAACAATATTATCGATCGCAACGTATTAAAATACATATTATATTTCTGTTATTGGATTCATGCAAAAAAAAATCTTATTTACGACATTAATTATATTTGCAACGTTCCTCGCACGAATATAAAAGCGGTTGATAGTCGTTTAAATAAGGATCGTATTTCTTGTTCCCGACCCTAAAGTACTATAACGATTTTGATCGCGACAATTTACCAAAGTGTATATCTCAATTAGTTTTGAAACAATCTCCATTACTTATATTATTAACTTTGGCGAAACGTATCCTTAATTATGTAGCAAATCTTATGCAGTAAGATTAAACGCTAAAACAAATGGAAGGAGTACATATGTTTGAATCTGTTTTATTGCAATAATGGAAATCAAGGATAGTTTAATATTCGAAACGATAAATTTGACATTCTTTGTAATCGACGTAATATATTATAAATATTTTGATTGGTGGATCCCGGTGGAGTAAGAAACAGTCGATTAAACGATTTTCTGAGAATTTTATAAAGAGGAAGAGAGAGAGAGTCGTTTCACGAAAGAAAATTCATGACATGATACACCGCGAGTTAAAGGCATCGCTCGAAAGACATAAAGTATTCCGTTGCTGTATCGAATTCCAAACAGGTTTTCCGCCGACGAAAACAAAGAAACTTCTTAAGTACGGCTGACATTTCAAACACATACATCCTCGAAACTACAAACTCTTATTGCATGCTGCTCTTAATCCTTTTCTGTTATCTTCCGTATCGATGAAAGAAGGATACAAAGAAAAAGTCAGATCACGAAATATAGACGGTGGCGTAAATCATCCAACTTCAGTCATAAAACGTGAAACAAGTTGCGTCTAAAAGCGTCAAATGTGAAAGGACTGGAAGACAAACCTGCTGAATTCGAAGAACCGAAGAGGCGTTTCTTCTTCCGGTCACATCGAGGACGACATGGTCGACTTGTGGCAGTTGATTGGTCCGTATCGATCCGGTATACACGAAGCAATAGATCAGCAGAGACAGTGAGAGAAGGAGCCAGTCTTCGGTTTTCCTACTTCATTGCTTTTCCTTGTCGATTGCGCGAACGAATTGGAAGGAAGAAAAAAGATATCCGCGTCATAGATACACTGTATATCAAAATGAAGGCTTACAACATCGCAACATCGACGTATGGGAGAAGAAACTAGGTTTGCAAACTTAGAAAGGGGAAAGACGGTTTGGAAGGAAGATGTCGCATCGATATGAGGCCATATACCGAGAAGCGGTGTTATAGCCTCTGGCTATAACACTCGCAGGGAGACCGAGGACAATTGCAGTGATAGCGAGGGAGAGAGGAAAGGAATTCAGGTAAAGATAGGAGAAATGTAGAACAGTCGATGGAAACGCGCGCGAGAAAAAGGACAAGGAGCGAAAAGGAAGAAAGAGAAGAAGAAGGAAAACGTTGCATCAAGACGACACTAGATAACGACAAGGAGACTCATGGGTGCCGCAGGAGAGAGGATAGGCAGTCAACCAAAGAGAGGCGAAGATCTGAAAAGGTGGAGGCAAAGAGTGGAGGTAAACGAGAAGAAGGGAGAAGAGGAGCAGGAGGAAAACTGGCGATGAAAGTGAGAGAGAGAGAGAGAGAGAGAGACTTTGAGAACGAGAAGAAGCGTTCTCGCGGCGGAGGCCGCGCGCTGTTGTTCGATTCGAGCCGCGCGGCCGCGGAGAATACGAACGGCCGAATTATGAAAATGACCCTGTGTGACGCGGCAGCCACCCTCGCCAGAAGAGATAGCTTCGAGCAATAAACATACCGCCCCGTGCGGCCCCGCGGTGCCCCTCGTCTTCCGACGCGCCGCAGATCCTGGGGTAGTCGGGAAATACGAAAGGGTCGCGGAAGGGGTGGATGGATCCTTCGCTGTCGCTCGTTGTGCACACGCACGGGTAAACACGTATGCGGAACGTGAATGCGCCGTTTCTTAGAACAAGCCTTTGCGAGGTATCGCTGCTCCTTATGATTCTTCGAAAGGGCTTGCAACGTGTGAGATACTATTGCGATGACAATTGTAAACCGCAAATTAAATGTCCAGCGAGTATGAAAAGATGACATTAAAAATTTTAATAACATATATTTCAAACCTCTCGTGTTTGCGGGGATGCTTATCGATTTTGCATTTGAAGAAATTTTAAACGCTAATTAGCATGAAACGTATCTTTGACGTAATCTGAATATTATTTATTTAACTGATATTTGATTTCGTGCGGATGTTTCTTCTATTCGTTTGCTATAAATTTTACGTTATACATTTTGCAACATATTTCGAGGGGAAAATATTTTGAATATATTATAGATACGTCGAGAGAGAGAAAGAGAGAATAAAAATATGAAATATTAAGTTTAAGAAATATATAGAAGAAAATTTAATTTAATCTCTAATTAATTTTGCGAGATTTATGAAAATGTAAAATTTACCTCTACGGAATATTTGCCGCATATTTCCATACGAAATGAATTAAATGATACAGCAGATTCCGCATCTCGGTTACTGATTTAGATCAAGCATTCATCTTACGATATGTAACGGTGCGCTGGTTTAACTGGTTTAACTGGAAAACAACGAAAGTTATGACGCGCGATCGAAATGAAATACGGAAGCTTCTATATTTTTCGAATGTGATGAAATAATACGGTTAAACGGACGCTTCCATCGCTCACGGACGACACTTGACCTTTGCGCACTAGTATCCTCCCATTGTGCAACGGAGGAAAAATATAGCGACGGATACATATGTATGTACCCTTAGTTTGTGCGATACGTATTGGCAGTCCACTAGCTACTGTAGAGTCCGAGAAAGGAACGCATCTCAAAGGAGTCGAAAGAATACCCCGTTAATCGTAAAATGCGGACACGACCGATTCCCTCTCCGAAAGAACGCACGACCCATTGCCCTAAAAGCTGTTCGATACGCTGCAGCATTTATCCTGGAATCTGCCTCGTAAATTTCCATTTTCGACCTCCGTTCTTGGCGAATCGCCGTCGAGGCTGCGAACGTACGACGATTGGTTCTCTCACGTTACTCGCCGAATAGATATTCGTATGTCGAAGACCATTCGACCGAAAGATCGATATTACGTAATTCCGGAACATATAATCATTTTGAATATCATTCGTAAAGTAGGAACTGTATTGCTGCATAAAAGCCGCTGCCACATATCGTAAGGGATTTCGAGGAATAGGATTTCAACTTTACAGCATCTCCTTTTCCTAATTAAGTTGATAATTGCATATAATATCCTGCCCTAAATGTCTTTAATTCTGCTTACGATATATTTTACTTTTGCATTAATTTCGAATAATTGAATATTTTTAACCGTGTCCCATTGTTTTTTCACTATTGTATTTACATTCAAAGAGACAATCGCGCGCATATATTTATCGCGTTTCCAAGATTGAATAAAAATGTTTTCAAGGGATAACGTTTAGATATCTTTACTTAAAAATAAAGCATTTAGTTCGTTCGATGGGTCGTTTTATTGCGTCGCGTTTTGCGGTTACTATACAATCGGTGAATAAAATAAATAAACAAGTATCGCGCGTTTCTGTATCTGCACATTTGTGGGTAAACGCGAAATGGTTGGGAATTGGGTGATCCAGCGTGGACACTTGCGATAAACAGATAACGACACGGCCGGTGTGTACAATGGGAGATCGACGTGCACCTGACGCGGATCGTGATGCATTTCCTGCGGATCGTTGGACCGAGCTGCGGCTAGAAAGCTCGCTTAGCCACCGAGGACCATTCGTCAACCCTTTGGGTCGCGTCTGCCCGTCAGTCAATCCTGTCAACCGTCAATCACCGTCAGCTTTTCCCTTCCACTCGCTCTTACGCAACAACCGAATGCATAATCAGACTGCAGTGTCCCTTATGCAGATAGCGGTGTCTATAGATCGGCGCCAAATTGCGGACGCTCGCGAATTTACTGCTCGTCGAATATATCGCGTCGTTGTAGCTTCGCAAACTGCCGGCTATTATTTCTCTCGAATGAACTTCCCGTTTAACACCGCGATTTATAAACCCTTATACCACCTAAAAATATTTTATATTTTGTCTATAGTTTATACGTGATATAACCTTTCTTACATGACGTTTATATTACCGGTATCATTTTTTATGTTACTCGTGTTATTTTCAATGATATTGTTCTAGCGCAATTTATTATTCAATCAATTTTGTTTTTTATTTCCTTCACCCTCATCGATTATTATTCGTTTTTTTTTATGTCGTTTTATGCACCGGAGGTACGTCAAAAGGTATTCATTGCGAAAGACCGTACCGTAAGGATTACAGTGGGTCATGACGAATTATCGAGCCCGTAATGTGTCATTTTTCATT